CAAAATCAAAGTCATATAATTAGAGATGGCCTAAAAAGAATCTGGTATACTTCAACAAGAAGGATTAGCTGTTCAATATTTCCTTTGATGGCTCCAATAGAAGCATTATTATGACAAATATATGAGGAAAAATAATGATTTTATAACATATGGAAAGAAGACGGCTCAATTAGGAAAAATCAAGTCCTGGCAATCATTGAAAGATAAAGGAAAAATGATAGAATGGCTTTTTTATTTCCAACTGGTCTCAAGACTGAGAAAGGAAATTCAACAAGGAAGAGATTTAATGGAATTGGGGAAGTTGCTATCACAGCAAAATGACAATTTAACCACCCCTAGAGTCAGGCATGACTGGACTTAATGTCAAGGGGAAACCTTTACCTTCTATTGCAGTATCACACAGAAACTGTGTAAGTTGGAGGCAGAATCTTGGAGAAGAAATATCCTTCCATCAATGGGAAACTTTATGGATAAAAGGAATAAAATTCACAGCTAGGTAAGCATTAAGAGAGAATTGGTACAAGATGTTCTTTTGTTGGTATATCACCCCTAAAAATACTCAAAAATGGACAAGATTTATAATGGAAAGTGTTGGAAAAGTAAAGAAGTGGAAGAGACTTTTTATGTGGTTATACGAATAAGGTCAAAAATTTTGGAAAGAAATACATGCTGAAATACAGAAAATTTTGAAAATTAACTTTCCAATGAATGCAATTCCAGTGTGAGAGCCAGTGTGGTGTAGTGGTGAAGAGCATGGGACTGGGACTCAGACGATCCGGGTTCTAGTCCCCGCTCAGCCATGGAGTCAACTGGGTGACTTTAGGCCAGTCACAGACTCTCAGCCCAACCTACCTCACAGGGTTGTTGTTGTGGGGATAAAATGGAGGAGGAGATGTAAGCTGCCTTGACCCCTTTGTAGGAAAAAGGCAGGATATAAATCGAAAAATAAATAAAAATGCTATGAATATATTATTGAGTGAATTATAGCTTAACCTTTTCTGTGTTAAAGCAATTTTTCAGGTGAAATTATCAGTTGTATTTGGCTACTGACCAATTAAACACACATTATTTATAATTATGTATTATCATGTAAAAGTGTAGCTATAAGTTTAGATGGTGCAATGATTATTGCTGATTCTTCGTGAAACTTCCCACATCTAGTTTTATAAGCAATTTTTTTGTAGAGTCCCTTGGTAACTTTTTCTCATTAAACAAAAAGAAACAGAAAACATTTATTAAATAAAAAATAAAAAGCACTGTGTAGCTAAGCCAACATTTTGTCCTTAGGGAAAAGGAAGAGGCAGTTGGAGAACATGAGAAGGTTACAAGTTGTTTGGATTCCCCATAAAATTCTGTTTATAAGGTAAGCTGATATTACCTTAAAAGGCTTGTCTAGAAGAGCCCCCAGCCCCTTCTGTTAGGTCCAAGTCCAACACTTTATCTAATATACCACACTGATTCTTGAGGCTTTTGAATGATGACATTTTTATACACAGAGTAGTGTAAAAGCATTTGTAGTTGAAATTACTTTTAACAATAGTGAGTTCTTTTTCCTGACCACCCAAACTGGCTCAAAGGAGAAGTTCATTACCGTATTTTTCGCTCTATAAGACGCACCTTTTTCCCCCTCAGAAGGGGAAATGTCTGTGCGTTTTACAGAGTGAATGTGTGTGTGTGCCCGACACCCGGGATGCTGCCGGCTCGCCTGCACCACATGGCACCACCTGGCCGGCACATGCTCAGCGCACCCTGCTCTGCCCCCCTCCGGCGCAGGTGAGAGCTGTGCCGCTCGGGGAGGCGTGTGGAGGAGCAGCAGCCGTGGGCTTTAACCCGCCAGCTGCACGGAGAGACGGACTGCTCACCCCCACCGCCCGGGAAGACCTGCCGCCGCACCGCCCAGAAGTCCACCGCCGGCACATTGCCGGCCCCACATGGCACTGCTCCCCCCCCCCATCTGGCACAGGTGGGAGCTGTTAATCACAGGTCCGTGTGTGTTTTCAAATGGCAACCCGTCTTTTAATGAAGCCCATGGGGAAGTGATGGGGAATGTGCCTGTGATTATCAGGAAGCTTTCCATGGATCAGTTATCTGTTAGTTGATCAGACACATTTTTTTTAGGATCAGTGGATATTTGAACGGCATTACCTTCGTGTATGAAGTTTATTCTTCAAAGGCTACTTAGTCCGCTGTGTGTTTGATTTACCATACAATATCTCATTTTTTGTCAGAAGTTTTTTTCTATTATTTACTAGTAGGGCAGCGTGGACATTACTGGCTTTTTTAGATTTGTTATTGAATAGTTTGCAGCAGCTCTTGTATAACTGGTGTAGATTGTGGATTCCTTCAATAATTCCACTACTAAGAAAGTGATGTCAGTGATTGTGAGCAACAGAGCTTCCTAAATTCTGACTCTAGTGATGATGAGTTCTATGGGTTCAACGAAAACTAGAAGAGTACTCGAACTTTAAAGTCTCTCTTTTGTTAATGACAGTGATGATGGTTCTTAATGCCACTGTTGACTGCTGTTCACTTTACAAGGTTGAAATATGGTATTACTGAATTCTGTTATAGTTTATTAAATAGTTTAGTAAACCATTTGATTCAGAATATTTTTTTCTTGTTTTCCTCCTCTAAAAACTAGGTGCATCTTATAGAGCAAAAAATACGGTAATTTTTTTCCTATCTTCAAGTAAGTGATGACTATTATTGTTAGTTGCTTTTAAAATTTTCAGCCAAATCACTGCTTGTGCCGCAGAGCGATATCTGAGATGCCAGTCCCAATAATAAATGTTGTCTCCTAATCTTAACAATATGCTACTCAGTAGAATACTGCAGTATTTCCTTGTATCTGTCTCAACAATTCAAAAGAACCTTGAACCTTAACTTTTAAGCTGCTGAGGGATAGGATTAGTTTTGTACCTAATGCTAACTTTAACAGTTGCAGCCAAAATTATTATTGATGGTGCATGCAGATAGATCTCTGCTGTACTTTTCTCCGGCCTTTATCCCTTGAGACAAGCACTTTGGTAGCATGCAAATAAAACTAGGTGCTAAGTGTTTTTATCTGTGTTCCAAGTGTGACTCACTAATGTGATCTGGGCTAATTATTATGATTTCTTAAACCCTGAATATTTGCAGCTCTCTCAAAATCATGTGGGAATTATGGAAATCTATATATCCTTCAAATTCCACCGCATCACACATTCTTTGACAATGTATTGCTGAATCTCACAGGCTGCTCAGCATGGAAACTATGCTTTGGAAGAGAAAATGAGATTCTGTTTCAAGGGCTAAAGAAAAAGAAAACAGCAGTACATAGGAGAGCTCCTGATTAAAATGAAAGTGCTATTCATATAATGCTAAGTCCTGGTTTCTTAGAAAAGTAATAAATAGTATTTGAGAGTTCATGACCCAATAGGTAAAAGGTGAAAATATTTGAGAACATCCAGATCTTGTTACTTTATTCTTTTGCAAAGAATCTTTTGTCAGTCTAATGAAATTCTAAGATTACTGTTTGTAAAGCAGCATCTCACCACAAAAAGCCACACTGTGACATTAAATATATATTATTTCCTGCAACTTTGTGATATTACATGTAGTGATTGCATGTACTTAAATATACTTTTTCATTAGTATGAGGCTATGGGCTATAGAGTGGCCAGCTCATCATATTTGAGACAGATAATCCCATGCAAGATTTTGCCATTTTAACCCTAGGCAACAAGCTGTAAGAAACAGCCCTTGGTAGGGAAAAACTGGAAAGTTGCCATATTGGGGAAAGAAGTTTCCCTCTAATGTAGTAACTTTTAGTTTTCAAGTAGGTTTGTTTCACATAAAGGACTCCTAATGCAAATATGAGTTAACAACTTCAAATTAATATACTGGCAGCTTACCTTCCTTAAAGATGCAAGAGGACTAAAGGCAAAAATTAAAAAGTTACCACAGAAGCCATTTCTTTACATGAAGAGCATAATGTCAGAGGTGTGATCCTACACAAGAGCTCAGTTCCTCTTCCAGACATCAGAAGAGAATGGTGAAATCCACGAGTTCCAACACCAGATCTTAGTCCGTAGGGATGAACCGCTTCAGACACAGGCACATATTTTGGAACCAAAGTATAGGTGGACTCTCCTTTGAAAATCTTCAGAGTGCAGCAGACGGACAGTTTGCGCAGTAACTGATGCATTTGCTGCACGTTTCTTTGCCCCCAAGGTGGATTTTCTCACCTTGATGCCCATCCTGTTTCTATGCGTGTTTAGCTTACACAGGTTTCAAATGCTGGGACTTTCTCCCAACCTTAGTGTGCAGAGCCTACGTGCCTGATATTTGAGGTTAAAGAGTGAAAGGAGGACTTTCAAATTTACTTCCCTCTGAGAAATCATCTAATGAATTTATAGTACCTATTCCTAAACATCGATCCACAAAAGATTTAGGGGTTTTTTCCCTCTGAGGAGCCACTAAGTGGGCAGCTAAGACCTCTGAGGGCCCAAGTTTGGACGGAAAAAACCGGCCTACACCTCCCGACATAGCCCTGCCAGCTATAACTGGCTCATTTTTTCAGTCCGAACTTGCATCACATTGCGCCTTGAAGGGCCAGCTCGTCATCCAAAAGCTGCTATTTTAAATGAGTACGAAAAAAATCGAAACGCACAACACACGGATCCCCACAGTCCTCCGTCGCGCCACGACCACCACCCCGCTTCCCACCTCGCCTCACACGGACGCCTCACGCCAACCCTTCGCGCTCGCCCGCCCGCGTCGGTCAGACAGGGAAAGGAAAGTGGGAGGGGCGACGTGCACGTGACCGGGACAGCTTGGCGTTGCCAGCAGAGCGTTGGCCCGTTGCTACGGACGCGCGGAGCGAGGGGGAGGTCTCGATGGAGGAGAGGGCGCGTTCTGCAGAGTGGGAGGAGTCGCGAGAGCCAGGAGCACACCGTAGAGAGCATGCTCCGTAGTGCCTGGCGCGGAGAGGGCGGGGCGAGTGCGGGCGCCCGCGCAGGCTCAGCTGACCCGGTGCGATTGTTGCGCCCTTTGCCCTACTTGAAGATTCCAAGCCGAGCGCCAGAATCCTAGCGGCCTTGCGAGGCACCGAGGCGCCGTCCCTTCCCGCCCCGTCCCGCCCGGGCCTGGGCCCCACTACCTGCCCGGCGGTGCCCTCCTTGCCTCTTTCGGACCTGGCCATGTTGCCCAACACGGGGTAAGCGGAGCGCTCGGCTGCCCAGTTCCACCACGGATCCTTCTTCCTGCTGCGTGCTCTTGGCCATGTGGGCGGGAGGGACGGCTGCACCTCTCCACGTGGAAAGGGCTAGAGGGGCTGCCAGGTTGCCAGCTGACGGTCTGAAGGCACACCCGTGCCTTATCCTGCCGAAATCCTCAGGGGAAGGATCCCCCGATCGGGAGAAGAAGCGCCTGCTCTTTGCTGCAAGTCCCGTTCAGAACTTGGCAACCAGACTGCCAAGTCAGCATTGCCTGCTCCTGACATGGTGTCCTGGTTGGCCTTCCTGGGCGACCTAAGGGTTCTCTCTGTTTAGTGAGCCCCGATAGTCTTACCAGCCAAAACGCTGCTGTGGAAGACGTTACACAAGGATACAAACCTTCAAAGGCTGCAGAGGATGACCTCAGATTATTCTGGATCCAGAAATTGCAAGCAGTGTGAAGAGCTCTGAAAGGGGGGTGGGCAATAAGATGGCAGATTTTCATTTAAATGACAACTGATGCCTATAGAGGCCAATAATGATAATAGTATTAATAATAATTCTTACTTCACTTACACACAAGTGTAGTCTAGAGCAGATCCAAAAAAAGCAAACTTGAAGTTCTGGTGATGAGCACCTCAAAATTGTCATCTTGGTGTGTTACAGCAAAAGGGAAGGAATGTCATTAGAGGTTATTAGAAAAATGTTTGAAAGCCAACATGTGATTCAGAACACTGTTCTATAAATCTATAGTGTAGTTGCATTTATTAGTATAAACAAATCTAATTATTCATCTTACATAAAGGAACTTGTGGAGCTGGGTAAGCTTATATCAAAGACAACCAAACTAATCAAAGAAGCTTTTTACATTAAAAAAGTGCTGGCACTGAACATAAGGCATGGCACAGCAACTTACCACAGTCTGATGCCTTCTAGATGTATTGGACTGAAGCACAGTGGGATGGGAATTGCAGCCTAGCACTTGTGGAGGGTACTAAGTTTGGGAACAGCAGTGGTAGAGCTTTAAAAAATGTGACCTGTGGAGAGAATCAACAGAGGAAGCCCCCTTCTGTTTACACTATTTGGTCTGGGTGTCAGTCCACAAAGACAGTAATATTGTTGTATAGCAATATGTTAGGATGGACTAAAGGATTCCTTGATATTTATTAGATTTATATTCCACCTTTTCCTTTTTTTAAAGAACTCGGAGCAGCTTATACCATTCTCCTGTTGCTCTCAATCTTGTCTCCTATGAGGTAGGATGGACTGAGAATCTGACTGGTTCAAAGTTACTCCATGGTTGAATGGGGACTAAAACCAAGACACCTGAGTCCCAGGCCTGCACTTTTAAGCACTGTACCACACGAGCTCTCTGTGATATGACACATAGTAGGGAATTCAGTGACCTAGGATGTGATGATGGCCATTCTAATTGGCTTAGTAATGGCTCCTCCATAGGAAAATTTGTGGAGGAGTATCCATTTACAGTTAGTAACCATAATACCTAAATAAAAACCCCCTTGTTCAGAGGCAGTACACCTCTGAAAACTAGAGACAAATAATGTGAGTTAAACATCGGCCAAGCTGTCTGAAAACTGATGGGAGCTGACATCCAAAATAATCTGGAGGACACCAGCTAGGTGAAGGCTGTCCTAAGGGGTATGCAGGTGCTCCTCCACCCTGGCTTTTCCTCACAGGGAGCAGAAATTTAAAGAGTTTGACTAAAAATGGGCTGGGGCTGGACATAAGGGAGAGCAAATGTGCTTGCAGTTCTCTACACAGCTGAGAACTCTCTGTATGGAGGACTATAAGCATCTTCTGCCGAATGCTGTTTCAGTTTCCTTTCAGGCCTTCCTGCTTCTGGGAAGCAACTCGTTGCAAGTTTTGAATATCTGTATAGAGCTCTAATTATGACAAAAGCTGATAGCCTTTCTTCTGTTTACAAAGACTTTAATCATGGAATCCTATGCATGTTTGGACAGCATAAGGTTTAAACTTCCATCATGTCCTAGGCGGTAGGGCTGGTTGGAGGATGCTGGAGCTGCAAAACTTCTTTATGTCTGAACATGCATAGGAATGTGCCCTAAATCAAACATAGGATTCCTGTTCTCACTTGCTTCAAAACCATCCAAGGTTGCTAAAATGTCTTGGAGACTTTTTAGGACAGTCTTTCCTAGTCTGGTACTCTCCAGAGCTATAGGGCTACCATTCCTATCATCTCCAGCCAGTCTTTCAGAGACGGCCGGGTACCTGCCCCTTTAAAGGAGGCGGTAGTCTGGCCAGTCCTAAAGAAGGCATCCCTGGATGCAGGGGTGGTCGCCAATTATAGACCAGTGGCCAACATTCCGTTCCTGGGCAAAGTGTTAGAGTGGGTGGTGGCGGGACAAATCCAGGCACTCTTGGATGAAACTGATTATCTGGACTCATTTCAGTCCGGCTTCAGACCCGGGTACGGTACTGAATCTGCCTTGGTCGCCCTGCACGATGACCTGTGCAGGGAGAGAGACAGGGGGAGTGCGTCCCTGTTGGTTCTCTTGGACCTCTCAGCGGCTTTCGATACCATCGACCATGGTATCCTTCTGGATAGGCTAGCGAGATTGGGGGTTGGAGGCACTGCCTTGCAGTGGTTCCGCTCCTATCTCAGTGGCAGATCCAGAAGGTGGTGCTGGGGGATATGGCTCTGCACCATGGCAGTTAAGCCATGGAGTTCTGCAGGGGTCCATTTTGTCCCCCTTACTATTCAACATCTACATGAAAATGCTGGGAGAGGTCATCAGGAGGTGTGGGCTGCGGAGTCATCAGTACGCTGATGATACCCAGCTCTACCTCTCGTTCTCCACCAATCCAGGTGAGCCAGTGGCTATGCTGAACCTGTGCCTGGCCGAGGTAATGGGCTGGAGGAGGGCCAATAAACTGAAGCTCAGTCCAGACAAGACGGAGGTCCTGTTGATGGGTGGTTCGGGCTTTGGGGTGGGGGACTTGGGCCTTGTCCTAAATGGGGTTGCACTCCCTCTGAGGGACAGTGTTCGCAGCTTGGGAGTGCTCCTCGACCCTGAGCTGTCGTTAGAAGCTCAAGTGTCGGCGGTGGCGAGGAGCGCCTTCCTTCAGCTCCGGCTGATCCATCAGCTGCGTCCCTATCTGGAGAACGACTGCCTGGTGACAGTGACCCACGCGTTGGTAACTTCCCGACTAGATTTCCATAACGTGTTCTACGTGGGGCTACCCTTGAAGACAGCCCAGGTACTTCAATTGGTGCAAAACAGAGCTGCCAGGTTGCTGATGGGGACTGGGCGTTGTTCTCACATAACCCCAGTTCTCCGTCAGCTTCACTGGCTCCCTATTGAAGTCTGGGCCCAATTCAAGGTGTTGGTTATGACGTATAAAGCCCTTAACGGCTTGGGACCTGGTTATCTAAAGGAACGTCTGCGTCCATATATGCCCACCCACCCCCTACGATCGGGAGTGGATGTCCTTCTCCAGGAACACTCCGTGAAGGATATTAGGAGGGTGAGTACCCGGAGGAGGGCCTTTTCAGCAGTGGCGCCTCACCTATGGAATGCGCTCCCCAGAGAGATCTGCCTGGCACCATCATTATTTGCTTTTCGGCGCCAGGCAAAGACCTTTTTATTTAAAAGTTATTTTAACTGTTAATTTATTATTATTGTATTTATAGATTTTAATATATAGCCGCGATGGTACCAGTTTTTAAATTATTGATTGTATTTTTATGTCTGTTGTGAGCCGCCTCAAGGCTTTGTTGTGATGGGGGCGGCATAGAAATGTTATAAATAAATAAATAAATAAATAAATAAAGGGGAGGCTGGTCTAGGAGTGCAGGCCCCTTGCACTCTTAATACTTGTGTAGAAGATGACCCTCCTGCAGATGTAGCTTGTCTCATCCTAGCATGACACACGTTTTGTGTTCCTGTTGCAATTCTCTTTTTCTTAGCTCTGAAGAATGCAAAATATCCATGCCCTTTGCATTTTGTTCACCATAAGTGGCGTCTGCAGAATGTCCATAATGCTCCTTCCTGGCACTCACGCACACTTCTGCTTTCTCAGTTCTGGCAGTGTGGCAGTAAAAACTCTATACCCTGTGTTTGTTCATCAGTATTAAGCTTTGGAGACTCAGTTGGCTAGTTTCTAAAGGAGGCTTCTTGTCTTCATAAACAGGGATTTTGGACAGGTGCAATTTGTCATAATGGCGAGGAAAACTAGCTCAGTCAGCGGGTCTCTAATAGCTCAGTGGCAGAGCATGGGCTTTGCATATAGGTTTTGCTATCTCTGATTACAAAGATCAGGTAAAAGATGAAGTTTTCTTCCTGCCTTTTTGAAGGGCTCCTACAGTTGAGTTGGGATAGACCATCCTTCCCCAACCAAGTACTCTCCAGATGCTTTGAACAATCACTGACATTTCCAAAATACATAAACTACCCTTCATCTACAAGGGATCACAGAATGGCATATGCAGCATTAAAAACCGTAATCAAAACACAACTAATTTTTAAAGCCATTACTCATTTTAAAAAGAAATTTAAACAGTGGTTTTTTTAACTGGCAAGGCAGACAAAGACTTAATCAGTTCAACTTTAAAATAAAATTTAAAATTCTGAACCACTATTATGTTTGGCAAAAAGTGTTGGACTACAACTTACACTGCATGGCCAGTAGGCAGGAGCGGTAGGAATTGTAATCCAAATTATATGCAGGACACCAGGTTGGAGGTCAGGCTTGGTAGTAGTAGGCCAGATGAACAAATACTCTGAGCTGGGGAATAGGAGCTCAAAGCCAAAATGCACTAGTAGATATCCTTCCTAACGTGTTTCAAGAAAATCCTTTATCGTGGAAAATTTGCTGCTGCTGCTTTCTTTTTAAACAATGCCTATATTTTTTTTAATCACAGCAGATTTAAATTATGTTGGCTTAGGTTGGGGGTAGGCAACATTTGTGGGTGATAGCACATTTGCTAATATGAGAAACTGTCATGGGCACCACCAAACGGCTGTTACGGGAAGCATAGCAAAGAACAAGTAACCTGCCCAATTGACTACTTGCAAGACCCAGGTGCGCTCCGAGTCTCAACACTTTATGCAACTCTTTGAACCCTCAGTTTTTGGCCTCAACTAAAAACCTATTTTACAGCGATTTTAGCTGTTGGTAAGAACATGTTGTTATTTTAAAGAGGGAAAAGCAAGAAAAGTGTTGTGGGGTGCATCGATGCCCAAGGGGCACTGAATTGCCTACACCTTGTTTCAGCTGTACTGTAGCGGACAAAATGCCTCAAGCAGTTTTGTTTCAGTACACTACCATTTCCCCTTTGCAAAGAGTTCCCTTGAAACACTTTGGAACTGTATCCATCTCTGCAGTTCGCTTTGGCCTTTTTGTCCATGGCTGTAATTGAATACCTCTTTTGTGTGAGTTTCCTATATTCTTATGCACATCCAACAAAGCATGTGTTTTACAAAACAAATTTTATTCAGCTATGTCAGATCTTCCAGTAATTATCCCAGCAAATGAGTTATTGTTCAAAACCTTGTCCTGCATAAAGAAAAAGGGATTGCACAATGAAATCACTGCAGACTGCAAGGAAGAGCTCTTTCTATCTGTGTTTGCCTGTTACAGTGTTGGCAAACAACATGGAGTCCTGCGAAAGAATACAGAGCAGTCCTGTGGGTGTGGATGTATCAACTGAAACAGCTCATTGGATAGACTTCAGTTCTGGAAGCAGCAGCCATCATTTTGATCAAATGCTCTCTTTTCATAAAGGAAAGTCTGGGAATCAATTTGAGTTAGTGAGCTTGCCTAACAAAGATTTAATCATGTTATGGCTTGCCTTGGGTGTAATTATGTTGCAGCTTGCATTGGTCAGCTGCTTGGTTGCAGAATTCAAACAGCTGCCAGCAGAATTTTGCTGGGACAAATTCATCAGCTGTGTTAATTACCTGTTCTTGTTGGCTTTTGGGCCACTGCGTATGAAAACAGCAACAGTGAAGACACTTGGTGGGCATGCAGTTTGGATGGGACTAATTTTCTTGGATCATTTTCCAATTAAAAGGAAATAATGAAAGCATGGTTCTATTCGGACAAGCAAATACATAAAGAGTGACAATCATTTTCTTGGAAGGTCAATTACCATTTACTTGTCATTTGACAAAGGAGAGTCTATAAGACTGAAACGCTCATGCTCATTTGGGGCAGCACCTGATAGTTCATGTCCTGTTTCTTATTCTGCAGTCATGGATGGGGCTGATTGTTTTGTGGTGTTTTTTTTAATAATATGTGTCTGTTTTAAGATCACAGGGCTTCACTCAAAAGCCACTGGTGTCAGATGTCAATTGAAATGTATGAGGAAGAAATTAATGACTGCACATCTAAAATAACAGGAGCCAAATTGCTCAAACATGGTAGAAAGTATGATTTAATAACCAGTTATTTTTGTTTTTGATACAGAAGTTACTAAAAGGGGGTATTACCTTGGGGTTTTAGCCTTATGTCTGGAAGATTTTGAGTTGGGGGAGAAAGTGCATGAGTTGAAAGTCTCACATATCTACTGTATAAATGAAAAATACATGAGCTAAAATACATACAACATGTAAAATGGAAATAGCTCATCCCTATTTTAACAAAAGGCCCACCCCCACTATACAAGAAACAATTCTTAATATTTTTACACTTAATCAGGGCATAAGTTTTTAGTTATGGGAAAGCATCCCAGGGACCATAGGATTTTTCAGAGTTGTTCTTTGGAGGCCACAGACATTGCTATGAACTTGGAAAGGACTGATACTATGTTCCAGTCCTTCACTGCCAGTTGAAGTTACATACATTTATGACTTTTGGGAATGGAAAAAGGGGATGTTCTATTGCTGGGGAGGGGACAGGCCGGATACACAGTCCCAATCTTGTCCCAGGCAACACACACTTACTGAATGGGCTCAGAAGCCTGTCTAGGTAAGAAAACAACATCAAGTCACCTCTCCTGCTTTTTCTGCAGAGCTTATGGATTCTATCTAGAAAGCCCAAGGTTTACTCTTCAGCATCTTCACCAAATTTCAGACATGCAGCTAAATTTACTTTTCTTGTTGCATTGTTTAAAGATGATGTTGTTGTTGTTTTCAGGAGGTTGGCAGGATGCACTCTCTTTATAACGGGTGCAAGCCGTGGCATTGGAAAAGCGATTGCCTTGAAGGCGGCAAAAGATGGGGCAAACATTGTTATAGCTGCTAAGACAGGAGTGCCACATCGCACGCTCCCAGGAACGATCTACACTGCTGCAGAAGAAAGTAAGCTTTGAGAGAAACACAAATGTATTTTCTCTTCTCCCCTCTGCTCTGAATCATTTGGGGCATAATCCTGTCTAACCCAAAGGGAACCTTGTAGGGTCATGCATTAATTATTTAGACTCCATTATATCCTAAGATCTCTAAACTGTTTCCATGAAAACATACTATTAAAGCAATATTTTTAAAAAGCATACAGTAAAACCTGGCGCCGTCATTACTTGTTTTTCGGCGCCAGGTGAAGACCTTTTTATTTAAATGTCACTTTAATTGTTAACAATATTTGCTTATTTATCTGGCCAGGGTGACTTCTTTTATATTTTATATTTTTATTTATTTTATATTGTTAATTTTATATTGTTATTTTTGTATTTTTTTGTATTTTATTGTGTTTGTAAGCCGCCCCGAGGCTTCAGCAAGGGGCGGCATAGAAATGTTCTAATAATAATAATAATAATAATAATAATAATAATAATAATAATACAGCAGTTCAATTACCAGTCAGGAAATGCTTGGGAAAATAGATGAGGCATCTGAAGCTCTCCACAATTTCTGCCTTGAAGACCACACCTGGGAAAGCATTCTAAAGGGTTGGTGCCACTACAGGCAAGGCCAGCTTATGTGCTGTACACTCTGTGGTGTTGATCAAGAATTCATGTCAGTAATTGATTTCCACTAAAGGTCCTTCACAAGCACATAATTCTAATTTATTAGTTTGTCGTTGTAACACTTGCTCATTTCATTTATTGAAACAATTCAGTAGATATTCTGTATTCTGTGGTATGCTGTTGAAACTAAAAGAAAAATATTTTCCCTGGGCTAGATGAATATTTTTAGTAATCTTAACAGAGTTACCCACATGTCCTTCTCCATACATTTGGCATAAGCTTTAGATTGTAAGCTGGAGAGTAGGATTCTTACTCTGAAATAAGCTTGTTCTTTTCAGTGCCACATGGATGAGCCAGGTTCATCCACTGAAACTTTATGATTATTGCTGTTGTTGTTTATGTTTCTCTACTACCCAATATCCAAAGTTCTTTGGGCAGTTTACAGAAGATTAAAATCTTATACATGCAGTGTAGATTTCTTTGTATACTAAACAAGTTTAAATCAATCGACAGTAAAAATCCAAAAATTGGTTAAAAGCTTATCATATGTTGTCAAATGCCTGAGAATAGAGGAAAATCTTGACTTGGTGCCTGGTGGACCACATCTGAGAGAATGTTCCCCAGTGGTGAGGACAGATGAAATGGAACAACCAGATATAGTCAGGGAAGTTCATCTGAAAACATATACCTTGCGAGGATCTGTTTGAGCATCCTAAAGATTGTGACCATGGGTAGATTTTGCCAAGCTAATGGGGTGTTCTTCCTCATACATGTAATTCAGGAGTAGATAACCTGGTGCTTTCCAGGTTTTTTGGATGACAACTCCCAGTCAGCACAGCAAGTAGTCAAGGGTTATGGGAGTTGTAGCACACTATGTCTGGAGGAAATAAGTTTGCCTACTCTTGTTGTAATGCATCTCTGATGTATGCCACTAGTATTAACCTGATTGGTGATAGTTTTCATATGTATATACCCTCTCCTGGGCTGCTTGTACATCTAGCAAGAGCGAGCACACTGTCTTCTGTGTATTTGTGGCTTCTGCTTTCATTCAAAGCTTTCAGTGGTTTTTGTTCCACTGGCTGATGGCCAGTGTTGAATCCAAGCCTTAGCTTATGAAGCTGGCTTGTTATTGATTGATTGATCGATCGATTTATATCCTGCCTTTTTCCTACCAAGGGCTCAAGGCAGCTTATATCATTCACCTCCTCCATCTTATCTCCACAGCAACAACCCTGTAAGGTAGGTTTTGAGCTAATAAAAGTTAAAAGCAGTCACAGTGTAAGGTTTGGATGGCACACAAACCATGATTTAGGTTTGTGACCAAATACAGCCAAAGTCATGAATGTATTATAATTAATTCACAACCTAAAACCAGTCTTTTAAATCCTTTTCCTTTTTGGATGTGGCCAGCCATTTGCTGAGTTCTGAGGTTTTTTTTTCCTTTAGCAATCTCATCAATTTACCATTGTCTCATGCACCCGTCTTTTAATATTTTTGTTAATAATATATGTTGATTTACTACTTTTCAGTTGAAGCAGCTGGAGGAAAGGCTTTACCATGTATTGTTAATGTGCGAGAAGAAGATCAAATTACTGAGGCAGTAGATCAGGCCGTTCAGAAATTTGGAGGTAACAACCTATATTCATTCTAAAGCTTTTGTGGAGTGTACTGATGTTTAATAGCAGTTTTAAGGTCCATTTTTAAACATTTAAAAGCAAAAATGTTCAATTAAATAGATAAGTCACTGGTGTATTATTTTCCCTTATTAATTTTATATTAAAATGGCTTGTTTTTAAAATCAGGGATAGATATTCTTGTAAACAATGCCAGTGCTATCTCTTTGACTGGCACACTGGAAACACCTACGAAAAAAGTGGACCTTATGATGAGTGCCAACACGAGAGGAACCTACCTTACGTAAGTGCTCTTGAATAATGTATTTTTTGGGGAAAGTAAGATGTGTATGCATTCACTTTTCATTCATTAGCTTTAAATTAGATGTATCAGGTAAAATATAGTTCTGATTGAGGTGAATACTTTTCAGGATCTGGTTCACAATTTGGACAGAAACAAATCTGAATTCAGTGATGGAGATAGCCAAATACTCTGGATAGTTAGAAATTGGAATGTGAATTGTCTAGAAAGACAATTCTCAGTATCTAGAGAACATGGACTAGGAGATATTTGGAGTAAAAATAGTTCAGCAGAGTGGTCTACTGTTTAAGTTTGCTACAAACTCTCATATTTTCCATCCCTCCATGATGCCTAGAGATTTGCTCCTTTACCAAATGAAACATAAGACTTTAAGGATACTATGGAAATAGTGCAGAGGTCATATTCCATGATAGGGTAATCACACCTGTCCAGATTCCATCATCATCTGATTTAAGAACTTGCAACCTGTGCCAAAAGCATGTTTATCTTTGTCTTGCTTCATTGGTTGAGCTTCCTTGTATATCTTTGGGCTTGTGCAGAAAAGAACTTGTACAGCCCTGTCCTGACCCCTTTTTTCAGCTAGAGTGGTGCAAACAGGCTTGTGCTGCAAAACGGCATATTCCACAAGTCACCATGCATGGTCCCTCCTGCTGAGACTCATTAAGAGCCTGTTTCATTACAATTTTGGACCAATTGTAATTTCTGAGTATTTTTCAAAGGCAACTCCACACAAGCACATTATAGTAATCCTGCCTGGACACTCAGCATGAAAGACTGAACATGCCTGCCTTTTCCAGGTTAAAGGCGCAGCTGATATACTGGTATAAAATGGTAAAAGACAGACAGGCCAGCACTGCTACCTGACCATCCAGTATTTTTATGCTGTCTTATGGGTTTAGTTTTATGCAGATTTCTTTATTTTGTTCTTTTACACTGTATACTACATCTGCATTATTTTTGACTTACTAGCATTTATAAACACAGGAGATACTTGCCAGTGAGTTGTTTGTAGGTGCACTTTCACAGCTGCTGAGGTGATACATACCTTTTTCACTCTGCGGATGCAAGACAAAAGTATTTTAACTTTAATCAAATTAAAATAATTGAGAAGCTAGCTATGGGGGAGGGGGAAAATCTAGCTGATTTCATGAGATTATTTCTTGTGGTTATTATTAGCGTCCAAAACTAATACATTAAAATAAAGAGTGGGTTTCTCCCTATGAATTCCAGTATTTCCTTTTGCGATAATTTGCTTAGAAAATCAAAAATATTTTGTCTAGCATGACTCTGGGGAATCTTCTTAATTTTGAAGAAATTCATTTGAAACAGCGATCAGCAAATTCTTTTTACTATTATAAAAATAATGCTTTTGATTATTCTTATTCTTATTCTTATTATTTACTTATTATTCTTACTCTACAGCCATATCTAAAGCTTTAAATTATTATGATTACTTTTGGTTTAAATCTCTTGTTTGAATAGAAAGCCCATAAATTTAGGACATTTTTAATTTTACTAAACCCACTCAACTTTGAAACACTGTATTGCATTAAAATGGATCTTTGCAGTTGGAAAACATTTTTAATAATACATCTTAATATGAAGATATGAATTATTTCTAGGCAGTTTTAAGGATGGATTCATCAAAAAGGCAGTGTATGAGCTAAAAAACACAATGTGGATTTTTTAAAGAAAAGAAACCTATAAAACATGTTCCAATAAAATCCATTAACATTGGCAATTAAAGCAAATAAAAAGGGAACTTACCAGTAAAACATGAAGAGCCCAGATTTAAGAGAAAGCTAATGAAAAGAGGTGGGTCTTCACAGCTTTCCTGAAGACCTGCAAAGAAGTGGCCTGATAAACTTCTATTGGGAGATAGTTCCAGAAGTGAGAGGCCACCACTGTGATGGCCCTTTCACTTCTACTTCCCAGTCTGATCACTCTTGCTGGCAGGTAGGTGAGAAGGGCCTCTGTGGATGACCTCAAGTAACTTGGGCCAAAGCCATTTATATATTTAAAGCAGGGATCCTCAAACTTTTCCACCAGGGGGCCAGTTGAAAGGTGCTGGTGCTGGGTGCAGGCCGGAAAAGTGGTTCCGGCAGTGTGCGTGGGCCGGCAAGGGGGCAGGGGCGATGTGCGTGGGTGCGCGTGCTGAGGCGGGGGGGGGGCACGAGGCAAGGCAGGGTGGGCATGCGCCACAAGGTGAGCGCATGAGGCAGCGGCTTGCTCACTTGGGGATCGTTTTCTCCGAGTGAGCAAACCGCTGCCGCCCACCTCGCAAATGGGCATGGTGGGCTGGATCCGGCCCCCAGGCTGTAGTTTGAGGACCCATGATTTAAAGGTTATAACCAGCACTTTAGATTAGGTTTGGAAGTACACTGGCAGCAAATACAGTTGGTGTCTAGCCCCCACCAGTATTCAGCTCACTGTATTCTGCACCAGTTTAGTTGAAGCTTCAGAACAATCTTCAAAGGAAGCTCTACATACAGCATATTTGTTGTTGTTAGTTGCAAAGTCATGTCCGACCCATCATGACCCCATGGACAACATTCCTCCAGGCCTTCCTGCCCTCCACCATCCCCCAGAGTCCACCTAAGCTCACACCGACTGCTGCAGTGACTCCATCTAGCCACCTCATCCTCTGCCATCCCCTACTTTTGCCTTTAATTGTTCCCAGCGTTAGGCTCTTCTCCAGTGAGTCCTTCCTTCTCATTAGGTGGCCAGAGTATTTGAGTTTCATCTTCAGTATCTGGCCTTCTAAAGAGCAGTCAGGGTTGATCTCCTCTAGGACTGACTGGTTTGATCACCTTGTAGTCCAAGGGACTCACAGGAGTCTTCTCCAGCACCACAATTCAAAGGCCTCAATTCTTCGACACTAAGCCTTCCTTATGGTCCAACTTTCCCAGCCATACATTGCAACTGGGAAAACCATAGCCTTGACTATACGCACTTTTGTCAGCAGGATGATGTCTCTGCTTTTTAGTATGCTGTCTAGATTTCCATAGCTTTCCTCCCCAGGAGCAAGCATTTTTAATTTCTTGGCTACAGTCACCATCTGTGGTGATCTTGGAGCCCAGGAAAATAAAATCTGTCACTACCTCCATTTCTTCCCCATCTGAGCCAGGATGTCTGGCTCGAGGTCAGTGACCACCCCATCGTGGTTATCAGGGATGTTAAGCTCTTTGTTGTATCGTTCTTCTGTGTAATCTTGCCACCTCTTCTTAATCTCTTCTGCCTCTGTTAGGTCCCTGCCATTTTTGTCCTTTGTCATGCCCATCTTTGCATGAAATGTTCCCTTCATATCTCTAATTTTCTTGAAGAGATCTCTGGTCCTCCCTATTCTATTG